TTGAGGGGGGGGTGAAAAACCCCCACAAGCTTGAACTTCAGGACAGTTCACTGACTGTTGAAGATCACTGGAATTGAAGTTCTCTGATTAGGCCATGTAGGAAACAAGGTTCAAGGCACTCTTCATATTCTTGGATCCCAGCATCCTCTATTGACCCCTCTGTGCAACCCAGATCTAGGCATTGTCAATCTCCCCCCCGAAAGAGCTAATGAATCCAACTTATACCTCACTCTATGCTTTCTAAAACTCAGGCTCCTTACCATCCCTCTTCAGATCACCTGGATAAGATGGAAACAGAAATAATGCTGGTTCAGAATGTTAACCCTGCCATAAAATTGTTTTCATAGGATATCCCTATATGGATAAGAATGAGCTTGAACTCAACAGACATCTGTCTTTACTACCTCAGTCCTGGCATTAAAAGTGAGCTTGAATTTCAGAGCAGGGTGGTGGTGGCAGAGGTTCATACCTTTAATGCTAGCACTAAGGACTCAGAGACAGGCAGATTTGAGTTTGAGGCTCTCCAGAGCAAGTTCCAGTACCTGAGGCTATACAGAGAGTCCAGGAGAGTGGGGAGTGGGCAGAGTCTGAGATTTGGAAGAGCAGGGGATGTGACTGAGTTTCTGGGTGCCTTGCTGTGTCTTTAATTTCACCTACACCTGTCCTCACTAAAGAACAGTGCTGCTGTAAGCCTGTGACCATCACTGGTTCCCTTGTCTTTGCTCTTAAAATGCTATTGTAATGATCAATAGCAAAGACAAATGCTGCCTGCCCATTCCATATCTGTTGTGACAGGGTCTAGTCATGGCTCCTCTACAAATTGCTAGGGATACCAAGCTGGCCTCAATCTAACAGACACACCTGCCTCTGCCTCTGGTATGCTGGGATGAAAGGAAAGGACCACCACAGCAGGCAATGGTTGTCATTTTAAGTGAGGTGGCCAGAGAGTGATGCCTTATGTGCAAGTAGAAGAGAGACCCAATTAAGAGGTTAGACAATATAGAATTCTGATGGAGGCCCTTAATTCCCAGCAAGGACATGAGGATGAATGGGGCTTGAGTGTGTTCAAGAAAATGTTAGAAATGCCTTTACCTAGAACATGTAGAACTGAGGGGTTGGGGCTTAGGTTGCTTTCTGGAGGATTTGGAGCCAGGGATCCACACAAGATGGAAACCTGGCCTAATCACCAAATGTGTGGGTGTGGCAGGGGGAATTATCTGGGAGCCAGGTAATAGTGTTCCACACCTTTAATCCAGCAGTCTGGAGGTGGAGACAGGTAGACTTCTGATTTCCTGGCTAGCCAGAGATACATAGTGAGACCCTGCCTGTCTCAGTAAGAAGTGAGGGAGTCAGACATGGTAGTGCATGCAAACACGTTAGGCAGAGGTAGGCAACATTATTGACCATTTCATGGAGCTAGAGGGAGGCAGAGTCAGTCTGATATTCACTGCCCTAGATGTCTGAGAATAGCCTCTTTTTTTTCTTTGTGAGAAAGGTTCTTATTCTGGTATCCAACGAGGCCTCAAATTGGCTATGTAGCCTTGAATGATTCTCTTGCCACCTTGAGTTCTGGGACAGAGGCCATGTACTGTTGTTCTGGTTTATGCACACCTGATTTATTGCCTCTGCTGGAAATTGACCCCAACAACTTGTGTGTGTTGGGCAAATACTCTAAGACAAAAGATCCAACTCCCAGTTTTTACATTCTAACCTCTGCCTATGCTGCCTGCACAGGTTAAAGCTAACTGTGACACCATGTAAGTATGGGACTTAGCTCTAGTCAATCAATGTTGGGGTTGGGTGGGGTATAGTTGTTGTTGGTGGTGGGTTATGGTATGCTCAGATATGCCCTGGACAAGGACACATATACCTCCTCCTCACTCTTCCTAATTTTTCTGAAACCACATGCCCTTCCAATCACCCAATATAGGGAATTGCATGATTGGGGCAGGTCTGTAGCTGCTGTTAATCTCTTACCGTTAAGACCTGGACCCCACACCTGCCCTGTAAGATTTAGTAGCATGGAAATTCTGCCTGACTAACCCTGAACTCAGGTCTCAAGTCCAGGCCTCAGTCCTCCCAGTGAACCCAGGGAGATCTGTACCCCACAGTGACGAGTATGACTTGCAACCTGAGGGTATAGGTGTCTGGGGAGGCAAGGACCCTTTGTTCTGACACTTTGGATGCCATCTTCGTCTCCCCATCTCTTTCTAACTGAAACAGAACCTGTCAAAAAGGATTCAGATGCTGTGCGAGTGGATGCTGCCTGCAAAAGGAAACCATTTGGGATTTTTCAAACGACTCCTTAAGGTAAGCCAGGGTCAGGCCTTCTGGGTACCATTCAAGGCTGGGGCCACCTGACATAGGATGGGGGTGGGTGATGGAGGAGAGTGGTATAGTCACTCAGGGAGACATCATTCCTTCCGCAGGATCCTGTTTATCGTCTTCCTGGCCATGATACCTCTGTTGTGCATCTGTGGCCTGATGAAGCGATTTTGTCGCAAGTGCAGACAGCCAGAGCAGAACCTCAGAAGGCATCATCAGACACCGCCAGAAGCACCGGCCACGGCTCCCCTAGAGATCTGGGTCCCCACCTTGGATCCCCCACCACCCTATGATCAGGTGAGTCTTTCTGTCCCAATCCTTAGCTTGTTTCATAGCTGGCTATCCAACTTGTTGAAGTCACAGACTGGGGAGAGCTGCCAACCATCTTCATCATTCCTTAGTCAGACGTGATGCAAGCTATGTACCCTTTCTCCCCTGCAGGTCGTCATGAAGCCTGTAGAACCACCTCCTCCCTACAGCCTCAGGCCTGACGACCCGGTTGGTCCAATGAGAGACACCGACAACACAGCCTTTTAGCTACCTCACCCACAAAGTTTTTGGATCAAGCCCAGGTCTTCTACAAAACTTTGGATGAATGAATCCACCTATACTATCATGATGTGTCTCATTGTTTGATTTAATTTCTTGTTTTTCTCCTGGTCCTCTCCAACTGGTGAACTGCATCCATGGTCTTTGTCCAAACTCCCAAAAGAACTCTTTTGAGGGAGCCTACAGTGGGAAGAGGAGATTGTTCTGATGGAATGCAGACCTTGATTGGACAGCTCTCTCTGCCATCCTACAGAAGCACTTCTATGCCTGGTGGAGACAGGAGATTGAACTGCAGAGACTCTGAGCCATCTTCCAGACCTGAGCCCACTGTACCTGCACAGGCAAGCACAAAAGAAAACTCAAGTTTCACTGATTGGTCTCTGCCTCTGGCTGGGAAGTAGTGATGGAAACCAGTTCAGAGGCTAAGCTCTTGCCAACTGCAATGGTGACTGAGTGCATGGACCCACCTGCCTAGGAGCATGTGCAACTCAGACTTGCCCTCAGATGAGACAGTGAAGAAATAGTGTAGATCCTGGTGCCTTGCTTTGGGGCTCGTCAGGGGTGCTAGCTACCTCCACTTCATCCTTGTCTTTGCTATGTGTGCTGCAGTGGACTCAAGGCCAGCCTTCCTTTTCAGACACTAGAGAAATCCCACAGCTGAGTTCTATCCTGCAGCAAGAGGTCACCTGCGTTTCACTGAAGATA